ATGGCCGCAGCGGCCCCGGCCCCCTTTCCCTTCTGTCCGAGATCCCCCTTGGGCCCTTTGACCGTCCCCTGATCGCACTTCTTGTCCCTTCTACAGATCTCCTTTTCCCCGAGGCTTCGCTATGGCGGACTGTTGTGTACCGATATGCCCACGGCGTAAGTAGATCATTAGAAGTGTCTTCGGCGGGGCTGCTGTGCCCTTCTTTGGAAAACCATAGCTGGTCCCGCCTCGATTCACATGCTTGCAAGGACTTGGAAAGTTCTCTCCACTTTGTGCGGCCACTAAAGCGTACCGCCGCCTCTGCTGACCGACGTGGGTGCTGGGCTGTTGGGTTGCAGATCGGGGGCTCGCGCCTGGGGCGTTGGTCCTTGGCGGTACCCACCCTCTGCTTTTGGATGTGTCGTTTTACCAACCCGAAAGCAAAACAAAAACTACTAGTTGTTGAATTTCACCCTGGAGGATTAGATGGGCCACTTTGCAAGAGGAAGTAGTTCTCCCTCTGCCCGTAGAGATGGAGTGCACTACAAGGTCATTACACGTGTTCCTAAGGGCGTGGATGTGCTCTTTAGAATGAATGAGCTGCGGCCGGAGCTCAGATTCCTTGCCCTTAAGCCTCACTGCATTGGCGGAGTACTTGGGAGTCGTATTAGTGTGTTTAAAGTGCCATTTGATATTTAGTTGCTGTAGACACTTGACTGAAACATAGATGGTTGTATTTCTCTCCCCTATGTCTCAAGATGTCAGTTCCCAGAGTGTTAAGTGTTGGTTTTGTTCTTGGAAGATATACCAGGTGCTTTGCTAGGGAAAATGCCTAACATTAAATTTTGGTTTTTGTCTTAGTTAAATCAGTCAGTCCACTTGAATTCTGGCAAGTGTGTGTACACTTGTACTAGTGTTTCGAGCAAGGCTGTAGACTTTTAAGTTTAGGAATTAGATAGGCTTGCCCTACCCTATAAAACCAAACTGGGGAACTGTCGCAGGTTTATATTACCACATAGCTATTTAGAAAGTAAACTGTTGTTACAGATGGCTGTTAAGAGTAAAGTGGTATAGTTCTCATTGGTCTGCTTGAATGTAAATATTAGCAGTAGGTCATAGTCCAGTCATGTTAACTATAGAATGTTTCTTTTTACTAGCAATGTGTATCCCTCCATGCTATGCTGACCTTGGCAAAGCTGCCAGAGATATTTTCAACAAAGGATTTGGTAAGGACTTTTCTTTTAATTTTAGCTTAAAAGAGAAAATGTATGCTTGCATCCCTTTAGGACATTGACTTGCTTTTCCAGACTGAATATCCTGCTGGTTTAATGTTTCTGCCAGATGCATTTTATGTTAGACTGCTCCACTGTACCCCAGCTTTTGTTCAGGCCCAAGTTTATGAATTCTAACCTTTTAAGGGAAAAGCTTGTACTTTTGGGTTCTGGGTTTTTTGTTTTTGCTTTTTTTTTTTGTTTGTTTGTTTTTTCCAGATAGGGTTTCTCTATGTAACAGTCCTGACTGTCCTGGACCTCAATTTATAGACCAGGCTGGCCTCGAACTCACTGAGATCTGCCTCCCAAGTGCTGGGATTAAAGGTGTGCACTATCCTGCAAGAAGCTTGTACTTTTATTCTCTTTGGTGACTGAGCAGGCCTTGGTTGAGTAGAGCTGCCCTGAATTACTCTTTTAGTTTTGTGTCTGTGGCTCCTGGTGGAACTGAAACCTTAAGGGGTTGTGGGCTTTTTGAGTGAGTTTGAGTTTTCTTGAAGGTTGTGTTGCACATACCCCTTCTCCCACTCCTTTGGGATAAATGTCCTTAAGGTGTAGTCATCAACAATAGGCTATTCTGCGGAAGTGATTTTTTTTTTTCCTTCCCAGACAGGACTTTTTGGACCCTGTCCTGGAACTTGGCTCTGTAGACCAGGCTGGCCTCAAATTCACAGAGATCCACCTGTCTCTACCTCCCCTGTGCTGGGATTAAAGACATTGTCGATTTTTCTAGTCTCTAACATTTAAAAAGTGTCTTGGAAAGGGTGTGTCAGGAAGTGGAGCCAATTTCCTGCCAGCATGCTGGGCAGCTGACTGCTTTTAAGTGCCTTGCAGGTGCTAGGCATCGGTACATTTTTGTTCCTCTGGACATTTGAATTATTTTAAATGTAACATGAATAATGGGTATATATCTGCAGAATAGTCATGTCTTTGCTCTCTATTCTTTGAAGGCTTTGGGTTGGTAAAGCTGGATGTGAAAACAAAGTCATGCAGCGGTGTGGTAAGTGTCTAATAAGTTCTTGTAACTCTTTTAATTTTATTTTAAGATTTATTTATTTAATGTATAGAATGTTCTGTCTTCATGTATGCCTACAAGCCAGAAGAGGGCATTGGGTCTCATTATGGTTGTGAGCCACCATGTATTTGCTGGGGGTTTGAACCAGGGTCCTCTGGAAGAGTAGTCAATGCTCTTAACCTCTGAGCCATCTCTCCAGCCCCTAATTTCTTAGCCTATAAATGTCTATAGTTGTTTTGCCTTAAGGAGGCAGAAGTTAATTTGTTTTGAGTGATTTGCATGTAATCTGATTTATTAGCTTTGGATATTTCTGCTTTTCATGTAGTTTTGTTATATTTGTGTGTGTGTGTGTGTGTGTGTGTGTGTGTGTGTTACTATGATTGTACAAAGAAGTGGGGAAAGACATTGGTTATTTGGGACTATTTACTCAGGTAGATTACAAGCTTGAAGGCCAGAAGCTTATAATCCACGCCCTTGTAACTTTCTCCTAATACCTGCCAAGGTATTCTGGGCTTAATAGTAACTTGTTTATTTGACCATACTGGTCATTTAATATAATGGCTATATTCTAACAGTCATCCATGGAGATGTCTACATACCTCTGTCCTGACCTGAATATTGCTTATGCGTTTATCCTCCCCAGTTGTTGAAACAAGGGATAAAGTAAAATATTGTATGCTTTTTTTTCTTTCTCTAATAATTTTTGTTTTGAGATTCAGAGATGGTTGTATTGTGTACATGCTAAACTATGATTATTGGGCACTGTGATAAATGCATGTTCTGAATATAACTAGTATTAAAGTTGTTCCTGGTAGGGATTCTTAATGGTCAGACCTGTTGCATTTATGGGGTTTTATATTGTTCTGTCCTGTGGTTTCCTTGGTTTGCAAAGAAGCTAAATATTTGGTGATGGTTGACTTGGCTGGGTTAAGAGTTTACAGAATATTAGTTAGCTGATTGCTGGAGATTGAAACTAGAGCCTTGTAGTTCTACTACTAATCTCTATTTTCATCCTACCAGGTTTTAAATATGTTTGTGCAGGTGTGTTACATTAAAATAAGTACCCCATCCTTGTTTTTAAAAAGCTTACTTTTAGACTGGGAGTATAACTTAGTGGTAAAAGGCTTACCCAGTTGTGTATGAGGTCCAGTGCGGAAAACAAACAAAACACCCCCTTCTAGTTACAAAGACAAACTTTAAGCTGAGAACAATTGGAGAACTGTATTGAGCACTAGATTTATAGATTTATAAGCAAAACATCCTTTTTTTCCTCCTGCCTCCCTAGTGCTGGGATTAACAGTGTGCACCACTACCACCACCACCACCACCACCACCACCACCACCACCACCACCCAGTGGCCCTTTTCTTTCTTGAATTGCAGAGATGTTCAGGCTACCCCAAAATGTAGAAGAAGTTCATAGTGATGGAGTGAATTGCTTTATTGTTGGTTTCATCTGTTCCAGTTTGACCTACAGACTAATACTGACCTTGTTTCTTGGGTATTTGTTGGCATTCATTAGACTAGCCCTTGATCTCAGGGACTGATGGGTGGTAGTAGCTGGAGCTTGGCAGTTTCTGATTTTAACTCTGCAGGTATCATAACTTCTGATAAACTTAAAACAAAATTTACATCAATTTTAGACATGGCTTTCCAGTGACTAGGTATGGAGACACTGATACAGAAACCCTAGGTCAGAACTCTTGACAGGCTTCTGGAAGGTTACATTTTATCTTGGGACACGTCCCTCACATGCAGTGAGTGCTTCATAAAGACAGATCCTCTGTGCTCCCTTTTTACCACAAGGGATTGGCAGATATATTCTATACAAATCCATGATTAAAACTTTTCTTAAAGATTTATTTTTAATTAAAGATGTTTTTATTTCACATGTATGAGTGTTTGCCTGTATGTCTGTTTGCCTGGTGCCTGTGGTGTCAGTTTTCCTAGAACTGGAGTTATAGATGGTTATAACTTGCCATGTGGATGCTGGGAACCAAATTTGGGTCCTCTGTAAGAGCAGCAAGTGTGTTTACTCACTGGCTGCTTTTCCGGTTCAAGGCTAAGCTTTCTATAGTACTTCCGAATTAATTCTGTTTTTTTTTTTTTTTTTTTTTTTTTTTTTTGAACAATTTTTTTTTTTTTTTTTTTTTTTTTTTTTTTTTCCTGCTGACACATAGTTTATATTATTTATGATAAAACCCAAGAAGCTCCCCTACTCCACTTTTTTTTCCTCTTTTTTTGAGACAGGGTTTCTCTGTAGCTTTGGAGGCTGTCCGGGAACTTGCTCAGTAGACCAGGCTGGCCTTGAACTCACAGAGATCCGCCTGTCTCTGCCTCCTGAGTGCTGGAATTAAAGGCATGCACCACCACTGCCAGGCTAAAAAACTTATTTTTATTTTATGTGTATGGTTGTTTTTTTGCCTGCATGCGTATCTGTACCATGTGTGTGCAGTACCCACAGAGGCCAGAAGAGGGTGGTGGATACTCTGAATTGGAGTTACAGACTGTTAGTTGCCTTGTGGGTGCTAGCAATCAAACCTGAGTCCTCTGCAAGAGGAACAGCTCCTCTTAACTACTGAGAGCCATCTCTCCTGTCCCACGAAAATACTGTGAGTTGGGTGAGGTGTGGCAACACACACCTTTAATCCCAGCACTAGGGAGGCAGAGGAAGGCAGATCAGGCCGGCCTGGTCTATAAAGGACAGCCAGGGCCACATAATTGAGACAGACAACAACAAACAGCAAAAAGAAGATAGGTAAGTTGTTTGGAAGGGCATGGAACCTAGTGAAGACTCATTTCAGAAAAGTAGAGGGAGGACTGGAGAGATAGATGGTTCAGCATAAGCGTGGGTGCCCCTCTTGTAGAGGCCCTTCCTAACCACCCACATGACGGCTCACAGCCACCTGTAACTTCAGCGGCAGGGAAGTCAGACGACTCTGGTCTTTAGGACATCTGCACTGAATATTCATTCACATACATATGCAAATGAAAAATTCTTTAAAAAGGAAAAAAGAAGGAATATTGGGATAGTTGAGCCCAGATTTTACTTAAAATTTTTCACATCTTGTGTGTGTCATGGTGTAGATGTGGAGGTGAGAGGACAGCTTGGAAGACTCAACTCCTCTTCCTACCATGTGGGCTTTAGAGACGGAAGTTAGGTTGTCAGGCTTGGTTAAACCCAGTGAGCCATCTCACCAGCCCCGTGCGCTTAATCTTTATTGATTAGTTAGAAATGTAAGATGGCATTCTAGTGAGGTCAGTCAGTCCGTCAGGCTAATTTGTCACTGTTGAGTTTGCTTAGGAAGTAGCACAGTGTGAAGTTAGAAGTGTCAAATAAGTTAGGCAGTGGATTGTTCCAGGCTTAGCAGACATTCATGAAGTTGTTTATTGTCTTCTTAGGAATTTTCAACATCTGGTTCATCTAATACGGACACTGGTAAAGTCAGTGGGACCTTGGAGACCAAATATAAATGGTGTGAGTATGGTCTGACTTTCACAGAAAAATGGAACACCGATAACACTCTGGGGACAGAGATTGCAATTGAAGATCAGGTAGTGTTTCATAGACTTGCTTTTGTGTCCTTTTTGCATTTCAAAAAGGAAATAAAATGGAACATAAATCTTATATGCTCTTTTTCTCCCAAAATAGATATGCCAAGGTTTGAAGCTGACGTTTGATACTACCTTTTCACCAAACACAGGGTAAGCACTTATGTTTTTACAGGCACTGAACCTGAAGCAGTCTTGTCTGCTCAGAAGAGAAGCAGCTTCCTCCCTTTCAGTAGTTCACTGCGGAGGCCACTATCTGCTTTTGAACACTGCTTGCCACCATTGACTTTCTTCAGAAATTGGCCTCTTCTAGTGCTAATTGTGTCCTATCTTTTGCGACTGTTAGTTTTACAAAGCACTTTTCCTATGATGGGACAGTCCTGTCACCCCATGTGGGTTTGTTTTCTTTAACTTTTTGGTTGTTTTTAACGCTAAAATTGTCATACTGTGGCTTGTTTAAATCCGTCTCATGCTCACCAGGTAGAGCTAGGTATATAAACTTTGTCACTGGTATCAGTTTCAAACCAGTCTCTCCTTTTTTCAGAAAGAAAAGTGGTAAAATCAAGTCTGCTTACAAGAGGGAGTGTATAAACCTTGGCTGTGATGTTGACTTTGATTTTGCTGGACCTGCCATCCATGGCTCAGCTGTCTTTGGTTACGAGGGCTGGCTTGCTGGGTACCAGATGACCTTTGACAGTGCCAAGTCAAAGCTGACTAGGAGTAACTTTGCAGTGGGCTACAGGACTGGGGACTTCCAACTACATACTAATGTGTAAGTATTTCTCTATAGGCTTTCAGGGTGGTATCTGATGTCATTTCTTAGATCTATTTTTAATTTAAAGGGTATCTGACATGTGGTAGTTCTAAGTGCTCCTCAGTAGCATATAGTGTAGACACTCGAGAGCATGCTCACATCAACAGGGGTTGAGGTGCTTTAGAAGAGAGAGAGGGGTTAGACCAGTGCTTTCTGTGTGTGACTTGATAACCAGGCATGTGTGGGGTCCTGGTTTAATAGGATTATCTTAGCATGTCCAGTCAGGTGGTGCATTTTACCTTTAATCCTAGCATTGGGAGGCAGAGGCGGCTGTATCTTTCTGAGATTGAGGCCATCTTAGTCTCCATAGTGAGTTCTAGGCTGGCCAGAACTAGATAGTGAAAGGCATTTTTTACCCAACTCAAATTAGGTTATATAGAAAAGGGCTTACCTATATTTCCATGACAAAACAGTATTTGGTAAATAACAAATACAAAAGAGAATTTCCCATAGTCCTACTAGCTAGACACATATATTGATTATCTGTTTGATAATGTTATGGCACATGTGGATTTAACTGTGGAAAACTGAATGTCACAGGGATTGAACTTAGGTCCTTGGGCTTGGTAGCAAGGGCCTTAAGACCCAATAAGCCATCTCTCTCTGGTCCTAGATTCAGAGAGAAAGAGAGAGAGAGAGAGAGAGAGAGAGAGAGAGAGAGAGAGAGAGAGAGAGAGAGGAGTTTAAGTCTCCTTTAGCCCCATGTAACAAGTTTGTCTGTCCCATAGCCAGCTCTTAAATAATGTACAGAGACTCCTTATTAATTATGAAAGCTTGACCTCAGCTTAGGCTTGTTTCTAACTAGCTCTTATAACTTAAATTAACCCATTTCTATTAATCTACTTGCTGCTATGTGTTTCCTGGCATATATCTCTCTTGCATGTCCTCCTTCCTTCCTCTGCCTCTGGCTGGTGACTTTCCACTTTTTCTCAGAGCTCTCTCTGTCTGGAAGTCCCACCTATGCCTCCTGCCTAGCTGTTGGCTATTTAACTTTTTATTAAACCAATTACAGTGACATATCTTTACACAGTGTAATCTCACAACAGCCCTGCCTTGCTTAAAACTCACGACCTTGGTGTACAGTCTTTGTTTTGGTGTACACTTTCTGTGTGTGCATGTGTATGTGTGGTGCTGAAGGGAGTTGAATCCAGGGATTCATCCAGGACAGGCAGCGTTCTCATTGATCCTAACCCTCTGCTCAGTGTGTGTGTGTGTGTGTGTGTGTGTGTGTGTGTGTGTGTGTGTGTGTGTGTGTGTGTGTGACACACCTTAATCCCAGCGTTCAGGACACAAACAGAAGGATCTCTGAGTTTGAAGCCAGCCTGGTCTAGTCTACATAGTGAGTTTCAGGATAGCCAGGAATACATAGACTCTGTCTTTAACGACATGAGGCTGGGCTGGAGAGATGGCTCAGCAGTTAAGAGCACTGGCTGAGAGGACCTGGGTTTGATTCCCAGAACCCACATGGCAACTCACAATTGTCTGTAACTCCAGACAAAGGGATCTGATACCCTTACACAGGCATATATGCAGGCAGAACACCAATGTACATAAAATAAAAGTAAATCATTAAAAACATGAGGCTGAGGCAGAAGGATTGCCATGAATTTGAGTCTCAGCCAAGCCATTGCAAGTTTTCAGTAGAACTTTGCTCTTGTATACCAGGTAAGCATTCTTCCACTATTCTACCTGCTCAGTTCTGGTAGTGGCTTATATTAATTAACATGTAATGCTACAGTATTACCCTGTGCCTTAGAAGTGGTTACATTGTCTATTCTAGATTCTAATTCAAAATATCTTATAGCAATAATGGGACAGAATTTGGAGGATCAATTTATCAGAAAGTATGTGAAGATTTTGACACTTCAGTAAACCTTGCTTGGACATCAGGTACCAACTGCACTCGTTTTGGCATTGCAGCTAAATACCAGTTGGATCCTACAGCTTCCATTTCTGTGAGTATTTCTTCAGCTTAGAATGGAGTTTCTAGTTGTGGGGAATTAACTTATTCTTTGGTATATTGGATGGTGTGGAAAGCTTGCTGTGATTCACACAGTCCATGTTTATACATGTACTGGGATTAGAATTGGAATGCTGCTTTTTATATGGAAATTGTGATAGACGTCTGACTTTCAAATTAGATCACTGGTGGTTTGAGAATGGCCCCCGTATGCTAATATATTTTAATGTTTGGTCTCCACTTGGTGGGACAATTAGGAAGTATGGCCTTGTTGGAGGAGGTGCATTACTTGACAGGTTTTGAGGTTCAGAAGCCCAGTCATTCCCAGGTAGCTCTCTCTGCCTTATCCTTGTGGTTCAGATGTAAGCTCAGCACCATGCCCACCAGCCTATTGCCATGCTTCGTGGACTCACCCTCTGAAACTAGGAGCCCCAGATTAAATGCTCTCTTTTATAAGTCACTTTGTTCATGGTGTCTCTTCCCAGCAGTAGAAAAGTGACTAAGACAATCACAGATTCACTTCACTTTGAGAGCTGCTGAATCAGGATTGCTAATATCCCTGGTTCCCCAAGACTGCCTAAGGTCCAGGTAATCTGTGTTTGGAGTCCTGGGCAGTTTGTACTTGTGTTGGGGAATAATAGTACTTTCTTTGATTTTTATGATTATGGTTTATGAAATATCTTCAGATTTGGCCTGAGAGGTCACTGGTCTAACCATTTTTACAGGTGAAGAGACTGGAGTTTGGCAAGAGAAATGACTTAATATTCTGTTTTTTGGGGGGCAGGATGGGGAGTAAAGCCAGCATTGGGCCCAGTGTCTTGATTTTTAATCCTGTCTAGGTGAGCAAAACATCTTACTTCTCCTATGACCTACTCCACTTTTCTAAGGGCAGCCACTATTGTCTGATTCTTGGCTCTTTCCCCTGTTTATGTCTTTAGTCATGGTGGCTTGAGGTAGAAGAGAGTGTGCTTTGAGGGACAGGGGATTAGCTTCCATTCCTGCAGATCAACAGCTGTTACTGTGTGTCAGGGACTGTCAGTACCATATGTACTGGGGGTGACAGGAAGTTAAACAGTCCAGGAGAGTTACTTCTGTTACATAGAGTACTCTTGATCCTCAAGGACAGTGTTTTGATACCTTAAATAGGTATGTTTATTCTCATCTTTGCGTTGTGATAGAACATTTATAATCAGACATAGTGTCAAGTGAAAAATACTCAGATTGCTTCTTCCTTTGACAAGTCAGTGACACAGTAATGACTCCCTGCTGTGTCTAACCACTAGTAAAGTACTCCGTGCAGCACACTGTTCTCTTCAGATGATGCTTGTGGCACCATAACAGATTGGATGTCAGTGGTGGAAACACCTTTCAGCTACTAGTCTCCATGGGAAGGTGACTTGGGACCTAGGTGTCAGTGAGTGACTGCTGCCAGTCATTGTGGAAACATGACAGCATGTCCCATCCAAGTGGAGCAGTAGTGCCCAGAAGTGTCAGCTTTATCTTGGTTGTATTTTGATGCTTACACATTATAAGAATAGAGTCAATGTTTCCAGATCTGTTGTGTTCACCCCAAGATGTTAGCTTTATACTGTAGCCCTTAGGGTACTGCAGAGCCAGTTGCCTGTCTAGGCTCTGGAGTTGAGGGTAAGTTGCAGGCATATCTGTTCTGTAGCTTGCAGGCTGCAAGTTTTCCTGTATAGCTATAAATCATGCAACATTTGCATGGGTAACAACATTAGGATACAATGTAAAAGGCTTGGAAATCTGCTAATCTAGGTGACCTAGCGAAGATGTTAGCTGGGGTAGTAGAGACTGGCACTAGAAGGAGCTGCTCCTTAACATACTTGCTCCCAGGCATTCCTGTCAGCCTTTGAAGGTCTGTTATGTAAAGTGTCAGGGCACTTAAGATTGATAAACCATGCAACAATGGAGCTTTATCAGGCCCTGACTAGTTACAACCAAAATCCGGCAGCTTAAAGGTAAGAGTGAGGAAGGAGTTAAGCTGTGGAGAATTGAGGATGAACCCTGGAAGTAGTGATATATGGTCTAAGCCATGAGCTTATAAGTTCCTCACATTTCAAAGATGGCTGTTCCTCTAGTGGGTCTGCTGGTTGTCATCAGCCACATATTAGCCTTTGTGCTTAGATTAGACTCAACAAAGGTGACTTTGTTGAATAATAGGGTTTTTTTTTTTTTTTTTTTTTTTTTTTTTTTTTTTTTTGTACGTATCCAAAGGGGTGTACAAAGGGCACTACATACAATTTGATTTTGAGTTAACATCTAATTTTTAAGTGACACTTGATGTTTGCTTAATAACGATATTAAGTTTTAGTATCCCATTGAGTTAAATAAAGCCCTGGGCTCTATAGCTATAGTTCCATGATGGGTAACACCCAAGAGTTTTGTCTCCCTTCAGAAATGTTTTTCTCTTTTTCTAGGCAAAGGTCAACAACTCTAGTTTAATTGGAGTGGGCTATACTCAGACTCTGAGGCCTGGTAAGTATTGTTGATAAAGTGGAATTGTTTTTATATCCTCCCATCCCCTTTTAAAAGAGATTCATTTAAGTGTATGGGTGTTTTGTCTGCTTGTATATCTGTATCTGCACACTGGAAGAGGGCATTGGATTTCATGGGACTATAGCCACCATGTGGGTGGTAGGAATTATACCCAGGACCTCTAGAAGAGCACCCAGTGCTCTTAACTGCAGAGCCATCTCTCCAGGCCCCCCTCCCTTTTTTTTTTTTCCGAGACAGGCTTTTTCTGTAGCTTTGGAGCCTGTCTGGAAATGGCTCTGCAGACCAGGCTGGCCTTGAACTCACAGAGATCTGCCTGCCTCTGCCTCCTGAGTGCTGGGATTAAAGGCATGCACCACCACCGCCCAGCTCCAGCTCCATTTTTTCAGTATTTTCAGATTGATAATTTCTTTAGTTTATTATTTTGTAAACCTTTCGAGACTGTAGTGGTGTTGTTGGTCCTCATTTCCTGGGAAGTTATAGCTTATCAGGAGCCCCTCCTCACCCTGTAGTGAGGAGGCTGCTCTGAATAAGCACAGCCGCCCTCACTCTAAAGAGCCCCACTCCTTACCGTCTAACACACTGTAGCTCCCCACTGCTGGCTAAATGCTGTCTTGGACCAGAGTTCAGGTAAGAGATTCCAGAGCAGCTTCTGGGTCATATGCAGATTGTCACCCTGTAGGTCTGAGGTGGAGAGCTCTGTGTTCCTAATGGGTTCTGGAGTGCTTAGGGCAGTTGACAAACAAGGTCCTCAAGCAATGGTAGCCCAACTTTCCTAAAATTTAAAAGTGAAAGTGAATACTAGAGAGCCTGTTACTGCTAACAAACTGAACACCCTTCCTTTTTTGGTTTTTGAGACAGGGTTTCTCTGTGGCTTTGGAGCCTGTCCTGGAACTCACTCTGTAGACCAGGCTGCCTCAAACTCACAGAGATCCACCTGCCTCTGCCTCCCGAGTGCTGGGATTAAGGGTGTGCACCACCAACGCCTGGTTCTGAACACCCTTCCTAATTAGCATTATTTACCTACCTAATGTGTACTTCTCACTGGTCCCCTGAGACCTAACAGGCTTCAGTTACAATCTGGCCTTTTCAGTGGTGTCTAGTCTGGGTAGTATAGTGACCATGATTATGGCTTAGAATGCTTTGAATTTATTACTAACCTTTTTATGCCTAAAATGAACATTCCCATAATTCCTAGTATTACAGTTCATCCAGTGCCTTTTGCTGGCTGGGATTACTATGGTAGTGGGCTGAGGAAGTGATGGGCAGGTTGAGTGGTTGTCAGGCTCATCATGATGGTTTGCTTTGTTTACAGGTGTGAAGCTTACACTGTCTGCTCTGGTAGATGGGAAGAGTTTTAATGCTGGAGGCCACAAACTTGGGCTTGCCTTGGAACTGGAGGCTTAATCCAGTTGAAAGAAACCTCTGGGAACGGATATCAGAAGATTTGGCCTTAATATATTTCCATGTGACCAGCAGGCTCCCCCCTTCCCCCCAGAAGGTGATTAAATCAAAGGGTGATTAAACAAGAGCTGTATTTTAAATATTTAGACAGTTTCCTGTTGGCTGGTTTCTAGTTATCAGTGCTGCTATGGTGCAGCCACCTATACATTATTTAAATGTATTTAACTGTTAAATGTGCTACCCACCAATGATGAAATAGACGTTTATGAAAACCGTGCCATGGTGTGCATGTTTGTTTTATGTTCTTTTAACATTGACTATTGTACTGAATGAGATGGATCAGTGGATGTTTTAAGATGAGGTAAAAAAAATTTTTTTTTGTTATATTCAGCCGTCATTAGAATTACTTTGGTAATCCCAAACATGACAAATTATGAATAAAACAAGTGTACATAACTAATGGCTCCACGTATGTGCAGTTACAGATTGGCCAGCCAGGTTCTAACCTTGGTAAATACTTTCTTCTGGTGAGCATTTGCTCTTTACCTAAATCTGTGCAACCAAATTCCTGTGTCCTTAGCGTAATTCCACAAGGTCTTTGAGACTACAATAAAATCAGAGGATACATACTTTAACACTCTTCAGTTTCTAAGTTTGTGCAAAATTACAGTGAATCACTGTTAATCCCATGGATGATGCAGCAGTGGTGCTGAATGGTTAAACAAGCATGCCACACCCTTCTGAGCCACAGCTACAGAAAGTGGAGTAACAAGAGGGGCAGAGAGAGGAGTAAGTGGGCACCAGCAGGAAGTCATTGCTCTTTCCAGACACACTGGAAAGCTGAGCTGAGGTCTTCGACATGGGGCAACCCCCGTAGCCATCACCTGGGCGGTCTGCATTCTTCAGTGATTGTGGTTGGAAAAGTAGGACAGCACAAGCTTTCCACGGCGAGGAGGTATATGTAAGGTGAAAGGGAGAATCCCAGATGAGAGAAGGGGAGGCAAGAGTGTCACACTTGTGGAGTAAGAGACTGCGGTTCAGTTGGAAGCTTTGGAGGACAGCTAGGAGAATGGAGTACTTGGGACTTCCTTGTAGAAACGGTTCATGTGAAGAACGTAGTCTTGGTTAGGAATTAGATGACACAACTTTACCATATGGGGGCTGAGGGGCACTTACTTCTTCTGCCTCCACTATTTGCTCTAAGGAATTGGCAAGGGGCGGGGATTGTGTGAATCAGAAGACTGATCCGATTCTCTGAAAGGTTCTATTCCCAAGCACCTATCAATGTGGAAGGTAACAGGTTGAAATTAGAGTCTGGATCTGTTGCTTGGTAAGAAGGAACTATGAAAGGTATCCAAGTTAACATGAACGCAGTGCTTGCCAACAGGTCACTGTCGTGCAGTCCCCTGGTTGACCAGGCACCCCTCAGCTAATGAGTGCAGGGGAGTTCACCTGCTAGCGCTGTGGGCTAGTGTGTGTACACATGTGGGTTACCAGTGTATAGAAGACACTTCTCAAAGTAGATTGGACCAGGTCTCCTGTGTGCACCTGGATATGTACTTGTGACTTAGAGAGGAAGGGGTAGGGCACAGCTAGTTCCCCAAGGGTTGTGGAGACCTCATGGTCCACAGCAGGTGCTGTGGGCTCATGCAGCTGCACTTGGAGCATCCTCTAGGTGTGCCTCACCAGGGCCTTAATCCATAGGTGGCAAACCTGTGATGTCCCAGGAAGTGCCCTTTCTGCCCAAGTTATTGAGGCAGTTTGTGTGTGTGTGTGTGCAAAGAACTTCACCTTCATTCCAGAGCAGCCGGAGAATGGTGAGGAGTACAGGCTGGCCCCTCCCACTGCCCCCCCCCCCAAAGGACAATGCTGGAAAAGCCTCAAGTTCTTGAATGAGGCCTGCTGTCTATTGGCATCTGCTTTATACCTTGGATATTAGTTCCCTCCCTCAGGACTTGGGTGGGGGCAGCAGGTAGAAACTGGAACCAATCTTAGGTCCTTGGGTCTAGGCCAAGAGGCTTGGTTCTCAGTTGATGGCCAATGATGAGGCTTCCAATTGAGATTGGGGAGGCAACAGCTCTGTGAAAATATGGGTAGACTGCCAGCAGACCTGTCTTTGCCACAAAAGTACCCATGATTAGGTTGCTCTCTTGCAGGGCTCCTATCTTGTCAGACCCTAGGTGTGATCTCTCCAGGAGCTTCAGCCTGTGGTTGGGACTCTATTCAATGTGTACAGCTGGGACAGTTTATTAAAACTATCCTGTCAGGACCACAAGCCTGGGTGCCAGGGAGATTGCCTTACTGGAAAAGCTGCCTGCATTCCTGTAGGGAGCACCACCTAATGAACGCCAGATATGGATGCTCAGAAGGTCGTGTGGCTTAGTCCTTTTATTGTCGTTTAAAACTTAAAGTCACTGGCTGCGGTTCTTAGATCTTGAAGGCCAAGGAGAGCCCATCACCCAAGGGCAGGAGGCTGATGTACACCCTGGCGTCCCGCAGGATGCGCTCATTCAGGTTCCGCACGCACTCCGCAGCCTTGTCCTTGGGTTTAGGCTGTAGCACCTCTCCGCGCCACAGCACCTGGAGGGAGGGAGGGGCGGGGCCATCGGGAATGGGGGAGGGAGAGATGGGGCCTATGGTGCTCTGGGCGGGGCTTGGGGATGGGAGGGGCCAAGACAAGAAGGGACAGACCCCGGCTGGGGAGCAGTCTAGCTTTCGCTAGTCCTTACTCTGAGCACGGCGAGCATGCCTCCGGGGCGTAGCAGCTGTAGACAGCGCTCGTAGTAGGCGGTACAGTTCTCCTTGTCGGCGTCCACCACCGCTACATCGAAGGTTCCGGCCTCGCCCGCCGCTAGGAGCTCATCTTGCGGGGACAGAGGGCAGGTGCAGCTGAGCTGCGGTCCCGGTGGCAGGAAGCCCCTGCCCAAGGTTCAGGGTCGCCAGCTTTGTTCCCTAGGTTGGAAAGTGCAGGCAGGGCCCCTCCCGTGCCGGTGCTCACCCAAAGTCTGCAGGGCGGGCTGCAGTCGAAGGTCGATCTTCTGTTCCACTTCGGCCTGTGGAAGGAGGCCGGTCAGACCGGCACGCCCCCGAGCCCGAGCCCGCGCGGCCGTAGGCATAGGATTCTCACCTGCTTCCACAGGGGCCGTCCCAGCTCCGGGGGCTCCGTGTCCACCTCGCAGGTTACCACGCGGCCAGCTTCGGGAAGCGCCAGTGCTAGCGCCAGGGCGGAGTAGCCTGTGAAAGTACCTGTGGACCGGGACGCCCACAGGCTCAATCCAGGGTGTAAGACGGCCCGGTGACCCGGGTTCCCAGCGACCCTGACTGCGCGCGCCTACCCAGGTCCAGAGCTTTCTCCGCCTTGATGAGCCGCGCCAGGTTGGCCAGAAGCTGGGCCTGCTCACAGGTCATCATGGAATCCCCTTGCGGATGCTTCAGGGTCAGCTGTATGTGGGGAGAAGGTGGTACCGTTCCTGCCAATCACCCGACCCCGCACAGGTTTGAATCTTGCAGGGGCGCGGTGGCAGATGTGGCCAAAAGGGGACAGGGATCAGAGAACCCGGAAGCCCAGAGTGGGCCTCTGCCCAGCCCAAGGTCACACAGCCACGTGAGATCCACCACGCTGGGACGTGAGGAGCCTGTTCTGGTCCTCTAGTCCTACTGACCAGTCGCAGGCTCCGCAGCGCCGGGTGCTCCCGCATGGAGCGGCTCAGCAGATACTGCCACAGGGGATTGTCCTCAGGGGGCAGCAGGCGCTGCTGTCGCCTGGACCCCCACGCAGGCCACCATCTCCCTGCCGGGAAAAGGGTGCTGGATCAGGGCCTGGGGTTCTGATCGGGTTCTCTGGTTCTGCTCCGCGCCCTCCCGTTCCCGGGACTGTAGCAGCTCACCCAGCAAGAGACCAGTGGCGAAGGCGGCGCCCAGCGCGGCCGAGCCCAGGGCCAGCGCAGCGGGAACAGATATTCGGAGCAATGGCTGGGCCATGGTGCGGGTAGCAGGCGGCGGCCGTGGTCACGTGTGCTGGAGTAGCGAGAATGAGACTGGGACTAGTGGGCCGACTGGGCTCCACCTTGTCCAGGCCCTGCCCGTACAGCCGCGGCCTCGGGCACCATCTGGTGACACATCGCCGCATTGCAAGGTTAGGTTGAGAGAACCACGCGCCACTCGGTGGCCGCACGTGGAACTGCGTCGGGCCGTGGAGCAAGCCCTGCACCTGGTGCTCTTGGTGTGTCGGCAGTGTAATCGCTCTTCCTGGTTGCCATTGTTGCTGAGCATATGTGAGCATAGGGAGTGGGTGATTAAGGTGACAAGTGACTGTGTAGTCAATGGAGGAATTCGGAGAGACTCGAGGAACTTTGCCTGGAGAGGTGCCCAAGTTGAAGTATCCAAGGACCTGGTTTGGAGAGACTGGGCTTCAGGAGCTCTGGGGTGGGCTTGGTTGGTGGGTTCCAAGAAAACTATCCTCAGTGGCTAAGATGCTGGGTGTAGCATTTTGTGCCTGTCGTCTTTCTGACTTTCCTTTTGTAAAGCAGGGGTTACAGTCTTACCACAAAAGGCACCAGCTTCCTTGCACACCGTAGGCGCTCAATAGCAGTAGCTGCTGTTATGGTCATTGGCTATAGAGGGCATCTTGACACGTGGCAGTTGAGTTCCCCATGCAGGGCTATTCTATAGACCAGTACGCCCTAGGCATTTATTGAATACCTACTGTATGCTGAACTCTGGTGGAAGGGGAAGGCAGTAGTGGTTTGTGGCTTGTTACTATCCCCTTTTCTATACAGTGAAGTCATTACTAGTCCTCACTGCACACAGCACCTGACAGAGTTGCGAGTAAAAACACCACAGGCACAGGCCTTACAGACAGGCTTTGTAGTCTATCTGTGCTATCTTTAAAAGCATTGCAATCCACAGGGCCCCTGAGGTGGTTGCCCTGAAAGCCTGTTTCTTTTGTCTGTCTGTCTGTCTGTCTGTCTGTCTGTCTGTCTGTCTGTTTCTCAAGACAGGTTTCTTTGTGTAACAACCCTGGTAGTCCTGAAACTCACTCTGAAGATTGGGCTGGCCTCGAACTCACAAAGATCCACCTGCCTCTGGACTCTGGGATTAAAGACGTGCACCACCACCACTCGGCTGAAAGCCTGTTTCTAACAACACTGGCCGGGTCCTAAGACCCTCTGAAGGCAAGCAAACTGGTGCAGGATGAGTGAGGGGCCCTGCCTAGCAAGGCCAAATATAGCTGAGCAGCTGGAATCCTGGGCCACAGGAGGTAAGGGCAGGGCTCAGGGGCCAGAGAGCATCGCCTCCATCCACAATCAGGGTAAATTGGCTTCTTGACCTATCAGAGTCTGCCCCAGGGTGTAGCCGGACAGAAGAGAAACCTGCTTTCTCTAGGTGTGTGGTGAGCTCTCCCAGCTGCTCCTGGAACCTGCCCCTAGACAAGCTCTTTGTTTGCATTCAGCTGGGTTCTGAGCCATGATCTCCAGGTAAGGACCGAGGGAGAGGAAATTCCTTAGGGTTGAGCACACACCCGGCATTAAATGCATGCTTTCTGAACAATGTGCTGGCCAGTGGTCAAAACAGGGACAACGGAAGCCTATGCTGAACATGTATTTGGTGCCAGATGCTGTATACCCAGCCGCTCTTGAAGCACGGTATTGTTCCCATTTTCCAGGGAAGGAAAGGGAAGCCCTGAACTGGTCACCTCCCCAAACTCACTGTCCAGCTGCCTTCTCTCCTTAATCCCACCATCTTCACCTTCTCTGGGATGCACACAGTGGGAATAGGCGGTCCTGTCACCTCAGGACCTCAGCCGCAGTGTGAGGCACAGGAAGCCTGGCTTTAACTGGAGCCCTTTCTCCCACATCTTGGGATCCTGGTGGCCTGCAAGTCCCCAGTGCACACCACAGCCTTCCTCCCACAGCCTAGCTTCAGGCAGGAGAGATGGGGGTGGGGGGAGCAGGCGAGTGGGGAGCCATGTCACCATATATCCCCGTCAGATTAAAAAACTAATTTGAAAAGATTAATGCCTTCCATTCCTGTTACGTTAGCTCTGATACCTCTGGGCCTGCGGCCGCTCTGCCTCCTGATTATTGAATTTTTATGGCCTGGTAATTAATTGCAGATTCCCTGTTTTGTTCTATTTCTTTTTCTCTGACATTTTAATTTCAACAGAAAGCACTGGTCTCTATGCAGATTCTCTCTGGAGACCCTAATGGTCTATAAAACAGAATGACTTATACACGTGGCACCCACTTCAGTTGGCGAGCGATTGTTTGAAACCTTGCTGATCACGCAAATTTAATTTTTCCACCTCCCTCCCCTTTTGCTCCTCACCTCTTGTCTCTTCCACTGCAGTGCACAATGAAGAGAGCAGAATGTCAAGCCTCCCGATCTGTTGCAGGGCCTTGTCTTAGAAGGCAGGAGCTGAAGTCAAGGCAAGGGTTTTGCTCCTTCTCTTTGGCAGTGAACTTGACAGTGGGCATGGAGCTGTGTGCATGTAGATAAATGGACATTCTTGGCCAAATTGGGTCACAGCTGTTCATAGACACAGGGATAGGACAGACCCTTGAGTTTTTGCCTAATGTCTTCCCACTTTTCTTTCTTCCAGCCCTGCTAACATCACATAGACTTGTCCTCTCTTCAGAGTCCCACCCCCACCCCTGGGATTAGGCAGGCCAGAGCACAAAGTGAAGACAGGATTAAATTGAACCAAGGAACTTGTCTCCAGGAGCCAGGCAGTTGAGGCAAATCATGGGGCGGGGTGGGGGGTTGGGGTTGGGAGGGGGTTGGGGGTGATAGGGTTCTAAGGGGACTGCGTCATTACAGTGCTCACGTTCCACCAGAGGACGCTAGCTGCTTCGTACTTGCTGTGAGATAGAAAGTTGGCCCAGTGTGTCCAGGGCTTCTGGGTGTTGGTTTGATTCTTACAAACCCCTGGGTTTGGTGCTTTAAATAGGCTGTACACAGCACTGAACTGTGTGTGATTGGGCTCACAAGGGCTCCTACTCATTCCTGGTATAGAATAGAGATGTCAGGACATGAAGTAGGATCCCTCAGGCCTGCGAGGGCCTCAGCAACCATCTGGCCATCCCTGAGTGGCCCCCAGGAACCCTCTTCTTCCCTTTGGGCCCTCCTGGGCCCTTTCTATATTTGGTTAGCTTCTCTTTCAGCTGGGCTGTCAAGACATCTTTGGATGGAGTCCCAGGGCTTCCCTGCCCCGGTCTCATAGAGAGAAGCTTGCAGCCTGGCTCTATCACATCTGGTCAGGTCTGCTAGACTCTGAAGGGAAGGCAGCACCTCTTGAGGTTTTGGGAGGCTAGACTGAGACTCTGAGGACCCCAAGGGCAATTCAAGTAAGTGGTCTGAGGCGATAGACCACAAAGCAGGGGTTTCTAGGTCCTCAAACTGGCTGGGGAGGAACTCACAGACTGGGCAGCTTCTATGCTTAGATGCTGGTAGCTGGTGCTGACAACAGCCAAAATGCCTCAGTTTCCTTATTTGAGAGGCCAAATACGGAAGCAACAACATGGGCCCCCAGGGTTAGACAGACTGGGGTTCAAACGTGGGACCCATCACTGTCCTCACCCTGGGTGAGCTTAGAACCTCCTCAGTTGGATAAAACATGATCATTATGCTTTGGATCTTAGAGGTTTGGTGGCCTGTGTGTGGGGATATTGGGAGTGGAGCAGCCTAGTTAGAGGAAGCAGGGTCATTGTGGGGTGTGACTGTGGAGTATCGGGACCCCACCTTTCCTCTGTAACTACTTCCCATTCTTCATGAAATAAACAGCCTTATGGCAACTCGGGCCACCATATACACACAGTGACTGGTTGGACAACTGTGAACCAAAAACTGAAATTATGAGCCAAATCAACAGTCTTCCTAACCTTCTTTCAAGATGGCATCTCCCTATATAACCCAGGTTAGCCTTGATCTTCTGTTCTTCCCACTTTAGTCTCTCAAGTACCAGAATTACAGGGGCCAGTACCTTGCTGATTTTTCTCTAGCTCTTTTTTTGGTTTTCTCAAGACAGGGTTTCTTTTTGTGTAGTCCTGGCTGTCCTGGAACTAGCTCTGTAGATCAGGTTGACCTTGAACTCACAAAGATCTGCCTGCCTCTGCCTCCTGAGTGTTGGGATCAAAGGCGTGAGCCACCACTGCCTAGCTGCTGGCGGCTTCTTCTTCTTCTTCTTCTTCTTCTTCTTCTTCTTCTTCTTCTTCTTCTTCTTCTTCTTCTTCTTCTTCCTTTTTGGATTTTTTCACGTGTTTTGTCACTGACTGCCGTGTGGATGTTTTTTTTTTTTTTCTGTCTTAGTTTTCTATTGCTGTATCTTAAATGTCCGCAAAACTAATAGCTTAAAAATACCAGTGCACAGTCCTGCGAGGTAAGGACGCCCTGCGAGGTCAGGACTTGTGGTCTCCAGAGGCTAGCAGTGGTCGGGGTGACAGCCTCTTTCAAGTTCAGGAGCACAGTTCACCTCCTTTGAGAGTACTGCATCTCAAAGGCCAGTCATGGCACCTGGGATCTTCTGGTACTTCTGATCTCTCTGCCTTCCTTCTTGGCTTCCGGGGATGTGGGGGAGCTCATGTGGAGACTTCCTGATCGCCCTGTTTTCGGGTGAGCTGGCTAGGAACTAAGGTTTCATCTGCAAGGTCTCCTTTGCCAAGTAAGAGGTAAGGTTGTACCAAAAGCAACGTCTGTGGCAGAGGTCTTGGAACCAAAATTTGGCCTGCCACAAACCCCAAACCTTCCTGAATGGTTATAAGGAGGCGGACGCTCTCCTGCCTCCACCCTCCGATAAGCGGATTTGGACAGTACAGTGTGCGCGGCAGGGTTTCTGGATGACAAGCCACAGCGCCACCTTGTGGCAAATAGCAGGTTTGACTTTACAACAAACAACTGAGTCTTTCTAAACTGCCCGGAGAGGCCCAGCGGCTCAGCGGGGATGTCGTTTCACCTGTCCCATCTTAAGACTGCTCTAACGAAAG